CCAAAAGAAGGAGACGAAGTCTATTTAAAGGCGAGACGTCTGCGGTTGAACGATGTGGCCACGATCGAAATCGATGGTCTGGATCGCACTTAGCAGTTCGATCTTCAATGGTTACAGAGAAACCGTCGAAATGAAGAATGGGTCGGGCGAGTCGAATTTGGGACCCAAACCAAGAGAGCATTCGCAACCGAATCTAACGGCCAGGGTCAAGATGACGACCATGATTCAGCCTCGCACGAGGCACACGGAAGCGACATTGCCTTGTCGAATCGCATTTAATGTGGTCTGACAAGCCCACGCGGCCTTAGATGGAAAGTACGAAGCCCCGCCCGTCAGACACGTGGTGCGCAGGTTTTGAATCTCGCCCGTGGGAAAAAATTTCGCCTGTGGACATGTAACTCGTCACCACCATCTCAAATTTCACCCGCAAGAACGAAGTTCGCCCACGAACCCTAGACTCGTTTCGCCTGAAGGAACGAATTTTGCTTGAGATACGCTAATCGCCTATTCGGTCTAATCTGCCTGCAAATCCGCTCGCCCGATTAATTAGACTCATCTGAAGCGTCGGGCTTTCAAATCGCCCCGGATAAGGCTGACTCACCCACATTACCCAACCAGACCATGACCTGACGGTTAACCCATACCCAAGCCTCAAACGGCTCGGGTTAGGAGAGAAATCTTAGCATTAAGCCTAAGAGAAATCTCTTCGACAACTCATCGTACCGAGGGAAATAGTACGGCTAGCCCGATTCAAACGGTAATCGGTAAAGACAAGTCAAACCCGTTGATAGCTGAGGGTTTGCTAAAAATCCTAAGAGAAAGCTCTCGACAACTCATCATACTAAGGGGAATAGTATGACTAGCCCGATTCAAACGATGATCGGTAAAGGTGCATCAAACCCGTTGAAGGCTGAGGATTTGCTAAAAATCCCAAAAGAATCAATCACACAAGGAGAAATATACGCATGAAATATATAGATAAAGAGAACATGATTCCATTCATAGCTAACTTAATAATACATTCAAAAGTTATGAAGATACATTCATGCTGAAAACAAAGAATTAGCCCTAAAATATCAACCCTCTCGGTCGAACCTACACTAGCTCAATAAAAGAGGCAAGGGCAGCTTCAGCGGCGGCTATCCTCCTTGTCTGATCTGCCTGGGCCTGATTCCCCACCTCCCTTCAAACCTCAGCCCGCAGCAGGGCTTCCAAGCGTGTCAGACATGACTAAAAGCTGAGAATACTGACCAGACAGCTCGAGGCCTCTCGAGCCTCACCCATACGCCTGAGAGCAGCGACGCAGTCCATTAGGAAGGGCTTGAAATCTATGTAGGTTCCCCAGCCAAGGCGAGTGATGGAAACCGCTTATCTCATGGTATTCTGTAGTTGCCTGAGAATGCCCTGTGTAGATCTAGAACTCGGAGAGATCGCTTCTTGACCGGATCGAACCGTAGCAATAGGTGGGATCAAAGGGACAACCCCTTCGTCGGGAAGAGGAGACTGAGGAGGCCATTGAGGTGAAGCATAGGCGCGTTCCTCCTCCTTGTTGTTCGAAATGATGATGGGCTCGGGTTCGCAGGATGGTTTTGATTATGTAGGATCTCTTTGAAGCAGATGGTTTTGATTATGCGATTTAAATCGAACGGCCGTGAGCAGGGCGGGACGTTTAGAATTCTGTGCAGATGGCCAGGATCTACCAGTTCCAAGACACAATCCCCATCGAATTGATGGCTAGGAGTAAAAGCACCATCGAATCCATGTTTTGAAGTGAGCGCGTGAAGAAGAGGCATCGTTTTAATTGACGAATGCAAGAATTTCCCCATGGACGCGCAGCCTGCCCTCATGTGCCTGTCTTTCGTCAGGAGAGACCCAACTCTAACGACACCAATCTCGTCTGAGGGCACTTGCACCGCTCGGGTTCGCCCAGAAGCGTTGACCTAGCCGAGGGAGCCAAATTCGCCCTAACTCATCAGGAACCTCTTTAGTCAAAGTGTTCCAGATCACACGCAAGTTGGTTTAGGTCTGAATACTTTGAAGTGGGTCTTGTAGACGGTAAAAATTACCTTTGCAGATAAAACATGAAATCCGCCTGTGTATTCAAACCACCCGCACAGCTTAGAAATTAGGCTCAGCCATGGGCTTGGTTCGCTGGCACGAGCCAAGGCCACGTGATCACCAAATTCGCCTACATCGGGTGACCATAGACTCGCCTTTATGCTCAACTCGCTCGTACAAGCCAAGATTATCCAAGCGACTGAAACTCGCCTGCACGAGTCCAGAGTCGAATTCGCCTACAAACGGTAAGCTCGTCAAACTCGCCAGAGTACTTGGCAGCCGCTATACCACATACAGATACGGGCCTTCCCTCTTCTCGCGACGTGAAGGGAAGGAGCACAGTAATCCAAGCCTATCAAGTGGCTGCTCACAGTACTAGTGGCTAGTCAAATCCTTGCAGTTGTTGGACACCACCGTTGTACTTAACTTGCCTGCACGAGTCAAGTTTGATCAAGCAGCCAAGGTTCGCCTGAATGACCAAACAAACCGCCAAGCAATCGACAAACTTGTCAAACTCACTCGAGTATTAGGCAGCCGTAGTATCACGTACAGGAGTGGGCCTTCCCATTTCCCGCAATGTGAAGGGGGAAAGTACAGTGCTTCGAGCCCCTCAAATGGCCGCTCATGGTACAAGTGAGGAGCATGATATCTTCCAACAGTACATGGTCATATCCCATGATTCAAGGAGTGGCCACGCCATCTCTCCTCTATTTAAGAACCTCTCCTAGCTATAGAAAAGGGGTTCGGTTGGCTCATAGTTAATTGATTAAATTAATCAGTCAGCTGAACCACAGCTCTTAACTCTCGGCAGAGTTGACGATAAGCTCTTTGCATGACCTTTGCACTGTAGCATCCTCTCCTAACTTTGGGTCCTGACCACCATCGAACTCGGAAACTCAAACTCAACTAGCATGAGCTCCTACTACATACTGAAGCTCGCCAGCAACCTCGGTCGAATTGTCCAAGGGAAGCAGACTCGGTGCGAGAACCGAGCAAGGCGTATTATCGTTACCAAAGTCCCCACGTTAAACAAGGAGGGCATTCCCTCCGCTTCTATTGTAATCTTGATTCATTAGTTTGTAATAAGCTATTCTCATCAACACAAACGAAATCCCTGTTTCGGGAGATCAAAATTTACACCTACATGGGTTATTTCGGGTTTGCCTCATAAATACCTATGTTTTTAAAAACTTCCTCTTTTTTATTATACTAGTTGGATTACACGTGCAATGCACGTGGTAAATTATTTTATTTATTATTTTATTATTGATTCATTTTATTAAGATTTATTTACATTAAACCATGTATCAAACATATGGATAGAATTTAAAAATTAAAAAGGATTAAATAGATTGTTTGCGTCCTTAACAATAAAAAACAATGAATAATTTTATTAAAGAATTTTATTTGATATACACCATTGAGTTTCAATCAACCATCTTATAAGAATGAAATTCAGATGTAGCATAGGTCCACTGAAGCTGACTTATCACTGGCTAATAGCAATGACATATAGAACTATTGACTTATCAAAGCTTCTTTTGAATCATTTGCTACTTGAGTTTTTAGTAAGCTGCATGCATTTTCGGCTTGTCCTGATGCATGGTGACGAGAAAGCTCTGTTAAGCAACCACTTGTTCTCCCTTTTTTACCACATAAATGAAAGTTTTCAAGTACGAAATTTAGTAATTGCTAATCTGGAAAACATTTTTTGGCAATAGTTAATAAAATGAAGATATTATAAACACAGTTTATCTATATTAGGTCAATGAACAAATGATTTTGTTAATGAAACACAATAAATGAGTGGCATAGAAGCATTTGGTTTGAAAATAGATAAAATTTGTTTGAGTTGTAACTTAAAACTTGGGTTTGTAGAGGAAAAGAGGAAAAGTTTAGTCCCACATTGGAAAAGAGATGGGAAGCTAGGTTCTTTATAAGCCTTTCCTTTCTCTCCTATGTCTAGAAGAAAATAAAGGTTATACTCCACACCACACACGCGCGTGCCGGCCGGGCCGGGATCAGGGTCGGGTGGCGCGCGCACACGACCTACGGACACGAATGCAGCTCCGGATTGAGGGGCTCTTGATCTGCTACATTTTAAACTTTTATTTTTTGCTAATTGGAACAATTAAAACGTGTTAATCAAACGAGCTAAGCAATTAAAACGTGTTTAATATGATAATAATTAATAAACGGCTAGCTAAATTATTGCTTAATGTTTACAACATAATTAACATTTATAACGTATTAAACGGTAATGTTTATTAGCATTAAGAACGTGTTAAATGGCTAGCTAAATAACGGTTTTCTTTTCTCTATATAAACTGCAAGGTGCGAGGGCAAAAGACACAACGAAATACAACAAGTTCTTCTTCTTCTTCTCTGTTCTTCCTCTTACACTTACTTGCTGTTACGATTTGTTGGTTCCCTGAAAGTCACGAAGGATTCGTAAAACCTTCTTGAAGCTCGTGCCGACGAGAAGGAGGTCGCCTGACCGAGGGTCGTCGTATCTCCGAGATCTATTGCCGCGTAGCCCTATACGAGAGGGGGCAATTAGTTTCTTGGGACAGTGTTTTGCACGCTTTGATCATCAAGCCGTATTTCTAACTCTATTTATTTTTCATTTGATATATTTCTTATATATGTTAATTATTAAATTACTTAAACTGATTTTCGTTATTGTCTAAACAGCTTATATTCCTAACAAAAATGTGTACTGTAGCAAGCACGAAAGAGGATTTTTTTTAAATAAAAAAGAAATTGAAACATGATATATTCTATGACATAAACAAATGTAACAAACTTAACAGAAGACTCCCAAAGAACTATGAGCTTTTTTTTAGAACTAAATCCAAAGTCAAAACATTTGGAAAGAAGAACGCATGCAATACTTACGCATCATCAATGAATTTTGCTGCAATGACCACACTTGTCATTAGCTACCGATGAACATTGAGGCAAGAAAGATGGACACCTGGTTGCACGAGGTATCTGTCAATGTATACATGTGCAAGGATAAAGCATGAATGGCTACAATTTGAGTACTTGAATATGCGCTTAGTGTAACTTTGTATGCTAAGTTCCTGTGATCTGAGACCATGGTCAATGGTGTCATTAGCTTTCCTCGTTGTAGAATCCGGCAAACTCTCATTCTTTTGAATTGTCTTCTTGAGAACTGAGAATAATAGTGATAGAACTTGTGGAAATTCATAATCTCCTTTCCCTGATTCACTAATCCCTAAAAATCTATAGTTCCATTGGTCTTTTGACTCGGTTTCAACTGCCAGAGACCTCATATATAGACAAAAGATGTCCTGAAATAATAAATTACTGAAATGTTATGTAAATTCATCCAAATATTTACAAAATAAAAAAACCAAATGTTTTGAGAGTTAGGCTTCAAATTTGAACAGATGCAATGATCAGATTCAGGGCTTCGAAACATCCAAATATGGTTTATTCACAAACATGATGTAACATTTAAAACATGTCGAATATGTCAATTATATAATCTAGAATTTAAAGTGTTTCAAGTTGATTTGGCAGAGTCGATAAAGAAATTTGACACTACATCCTGAAGCATTCATGTATAATATAATTAGATAAAGTAAGTTGGACACATTTGATGAAGATGCAAAAAAGTCGCAGGGCAAGTTTTCAATAAATAAAGCAGAGAGGAATTAACTGGAGTTCGATATTATTTTCTGCTTATATATGCTCTTTTTTTCTCAACGTAAATTGAAAATTTTTCACTTAATCATCGATCAATAACAATATCTGAAAGTAAATGGTCCTAACCTTGTACCATGTGATAGGTTGGTCTTGAGATGCTTGACCCCACTCAACGCTCGAACTTCCGGTAAGAGAATGAAGTTTCAATTCTTCCCCTTTCAAACCAATCTGCAAACAAACATAAAAATCACTGAACCTGCAATCTTTATTTTCATTCACAGTACTAATTTGAAGACAGCTAACTTGATAGCTCCATTTTTGCCATGTAAGGTCTCTTCGTCCCTCATTAAGACCATTCAGTGTAACTGGACCAAGCACTCCAGCATTACATGTCTCAAAATGCTCCCCAACATTCTTCAATTAAATCAAAAGTTTAATTTGTTTATGGTTGTTATCAGCTTTTCTACAAGAAAAAGTAGGTAAAGCAAACTTACAGGAAGACCAACGGAAACACTTAACAGAGAAATCTTATTGCTGCCTGAACGTACCTTAACATCTTCAGTATAAGTGAGTTTTGGATTTTCAAGACTACCACATGTTGTCCCTGCAGAACAGGAGGAAGAAAAATCCAGGTCATCCAATAAATGGCTTGTCAGAACTAATATCCAAAAGAAAAACCGTAAGTTTCAGCCTAGCAAATCACATGACAAAATTTTAGGTGATGTTGACAAAATATGTTTTGTTCAATTAGAAAAAGCCTGGAGCTTAAAATGTGACAGTTTGTATTTACCTCACTCTGAAAACTTTGCTTCGGTTAGAATGAATTTCTCGTTACTCAGAATTTCAACTATTTGTTTGTTAATATATGACTTCCACAAGTAATGCTCTGAAACAAACTAATGCATTGAAATTCTTTCATGAGCATTTCTATCAATCAGAGAGTCAACGTTCACCATAAAGGAAAGACAAAATAAAAGATTTTAGGCTGAAAGAGCTAAGCTAATCAACCTTTACTTCAGATTTCTTCACCTTATTTATCTTGAACCGATCATACTTTGTCAATTGGAAGAAGCTCCCATTCTTTCCTGGAGATGAAAGCTCTTTCAAGGCATCATTCCCACAAATGGTCATCATAAAATTTGCGGGATCCACCTTAAACAGCTTCCTCAAATGCCTAAGCACAATCATGGGGAAAAAACTTGTTATTCTGCACAATAAATCAAAGGCAGTATGGACCTGGCTTGGTAGAAACTATAGTTAAATCCTAGGACAAAATGAAATCTGTAATATTTTAAGGCATAAACATTTGCAAGAATACTTCAGTAAAAGAAGTGTGTCCAAGATTTCTTTGGGACAACTCTTGTTCTTTCTGCCAAGGCAAGGGGGTGGGAAAGAGATAGTCTTCAGTAAAAGGGAGTCATGTCTGCCACCAAATCCCTTCTTGGAGATCAGTGCTGATGATGAAGGACCTGGTCAACATTTCCTCAGATATAGCCCACAAGTACACAATTATATGAAGAAGTGGGGATACAATCTCACACTTGGAGAAGACCTCTGCTTTGATCGAGGTACCCGAGTTCCACCCTGGCCGTCCTATGTACCAAAGGGAAGGCCAGACAATTATTATGAGCATAAGAGGGGTCTAGGCTATATCTCTTCATCCTCCGACGAATGTTGTTGGCAGGGGTAAACTGAATTCTTAGCAATCTCACATATATCACATGCAATCACCTTCCAAAACTGTTAAAAGAAAAACAAATTTTAACATCTCACAGGTACAATATAAAGAAGAATCGTGAGAAGTAGCTTTACTGAAACTACAATGTTAAATCCTTCATCAATGGTTCTTTAGTAAAATGGATTTGCATTAGTTATCTATTGACAAAGAAACATTAATACCCCATAAGAAAAACATTGGAAAAGGTTTTTAATGATAATCCATAAATAAGGAATTATAGCTCCATGGAGACATTGTGAGGCAATCTGGGCAATCAAAAAATGTTCATTAATTTTACCTTCGAAATACCTCAGCGTACAGTAGTACAACATTTTCAAATAAACCGACAGCCCACATGCAAAATTTATGGAAAAAATATCCTTAAACATTTACAAAACAAAATGCTAATGAGAGCATATCTCCAACTCCTTTTGTTTGGTTTGCACTTGATCTTGTGGGACTACACCTTTATATTCAACTCATCAAAAGGAAAGCTAGTAAAAAAAGTAAGAGAATTTACAAGGGTAGTTTGCAGGTTTATCACCTTAATGGAATGAAACACGCTATCTGCATCTGATAATATCACATCAAAACCTATGCTAGGACTCGATCCAAATGTGGCCATGCACTACCTCAACATCAAGCCGGATGCCAAACCTGTTAAGCAACACCAAAGATGGTTTCGTCCGTAAATTATGGAGGTGATTAAAACTAAAGTCAAAAAGCTGATTGACTTAGGCTTCATCAGAGAAGAGCAACATCCAGATTGGGTGGCGAACATTATACTAGTTCTTAAAAAGAATAGAGAAATTAGAATCTGCGTCGACTTCAGAGATCTTAACTCCGCCTGCCCAAAAGATGACTTTCCTCTTCCTATCATGGATGTTATCATCGATAACACATGTGGATTTGAGAGAATGTCTTTCATGGATGGATTCTCATGATACAACTAGATTAAAATATACATGGGTGCTTTAAGGTCAGCATCAAATATTTTAAATGTTCCCCCTTTCATAAGCTTATAAACTTACCTTAATGTTTTTGACATTAATCTGACATTTCAGAATGATATTTACTCAAAGTGCCTAAAACAACTCCTTTGATGTAGATGACAATGACCCGAGTATCTCCGCAATAATTGGGCAAGTTTTTGGGCTAAATATCAGCAACTTTTTCGAGGCCAAGCATCAGCAAAAGAGGACTCATAGAACAAAAAAATTATCATGCACCCATTCCAATATAAACATCATGCATGCATGCAACCACATAGTGTGCTTTTGTTTCGTGACAACTTCAAAGACTTTCAACGGTTCAATCTAAAGGAAGAACACTAACTTTAGAAAGACTTTCAATTTTGTGGTTAATTCAACTTCTAAGCTTTTAATGTATAGTTATCATGGAAATTCCTGTAAATGTATAAAAAGCTTTTAATGTCCCGGTTCTCTGAAAGGATCTTAACAAAACACCCATGATACGATGAAAATTTTCAGATAAGCAAAATTCAAAGTAATCCTTGAATGCAAAGTTTAAAGCCTAACAAGAAAAACAGCCAACAGTAGTTAGTACAACTGAAATGCAACATCTCCACAAAGGGCAAGCTAATTAGTACAGTTCAATTAAAACATATAAACTTACCTATTTTTCAATGAAATAAATAATTTATAAGAAATGTGATGCAATGGTCTTGTAATGTTGTACAAGTTATCGATCATTTTGTGAAACAGAACAAACTTACCTCACTTCTAGTAGAGTTGTCCATCATAACAGATGTGTCATTTGTCTGTGACGATGCTTGATAGAAAACATTCTAAGACATCAAGGCATACTTGTCAAATCCTCTTGTTCTTGTCGCATCAAAGTCAGGAAAACCGTTCTTGATTTATGTCAAGGTAACAAATCACTCGTTAAGTGCTCTACTAGCATAAGACGATGACAACGGTCATGAACATGTGGTTTATTATTTGAGCAGGACATTGGTAGGCGCTGAATCTCGATATCCGATGATTGAGAAGGAATGTCTTTCCCTGGTATTCACAATTCACAAGATGAGACACTATTTGGTTAGACAAAGGGTTTATGTTGTTTCCAATGTCAATCCCGTTCGAGTATTTATGATGTAACCAGACTCTATGAATTGGTGATTGGCGAGATGGGCCTTGCTTCTGTCATGATACGACCTTCACTTCAAACAACAGAAGTCGATCAAAGGGCAACCAATATGTGATCTTCTAGCGGTTTACCTCGTAAAGGATGAAGTCGAATTGTACGAAGACTTGCCAGATGAAATCCATGAAGTCAACACCACCTCTCATCAGCAAGTGTGGAAATTACACTTTGATGGTGCTTCTTGAACAACTAATATGGTGAGCGTTCCTGGATGTTCCAAAAGTATGTTGTCAGTAATCGTATGGAGAACCACATCAATAACCTCACACTTGTATGTTTAAAACCAAGTACATGTCCTAATGCATCCCGCCTCTTCAATGAATAATTAACCGTCGTATTATTAAAATAAAAAATATCAAATGCAATAAGAAAACTATTGTGTGTCCCCATTCAATCAAAACATGCTTATATATATATATATCACAAACACACACATCAGCTCCAATAACTTAACATAAGCCTACAGATGTTAACTATAAGTAATACAGATAGGTATGATTATAATACAAACATTCCAAAGTAAATGAAAATGTCATTGAAATCACTATAAATAATTAGCTCACAACATAGAGATTCAAAGCATAGAGCTAAGGAAGAACATAAACCTTGGCGGTCTACTGACTGCAGACTGTCTGGCCGACGAAGTAATCAGCTGCAGCTGCAAATCCAAATGCTTTTCAAGCGTCGGGCACCTTGACAGAAACTTAATTTCAATAAGAAAATTAAGGAAAATGGTTAAACACAGGCCATTGCGTGAGAGGGGTAAATGAAACAGGATCAACAAATCTTGTATATATATTATATACTAATAAATAAGTACCAAGTACTATAAAAAATAAGAATCAAGCTATTATATTGCTTTATTTGTTAGATCAGCATAAAATCCCATTCAAAATAGTGTCATTTATAGTGATCACATGTAAAGATGGGCAAGGTAGTAACTAAAATAGAAGATGATTCCAAGGCTGATGATTTAACATAGAAGCAGCTCAAAAAATGAACCAGCAAATAGACAAATAGGTATCTAGACTAAACATTGTGAATAAATAGACTAAACATGAAGTCTTTGAATGGTAAATTGGGACATTGTAAGGTTGCAGGTTCAATAACTTGTGAGACAATACATTAAAGCATTAGTAAAGTGTGCAACCAAGATGAACATCAGCACCACTGGCATCTTACTCCAATATCACAACCTCGATCTGATTTCTTGTTCTGCCATCTGCGAAGAACCATCGCAACCCACTGAACTGGTAACTTCCTCATTGCTTCTAGCTGCCTCCAGCGCTCTTTTTCAGCAGCACCCTGTGGGCAACTATTAGAAACTTCTCTGACTGTTTTTAGGTGATGGATTTTCTAGCCAAAATGCAATAAAGGCATTAACAGAATCCAAAACTGTTTAGAATAATCCCAAACTTGTTATACAAACTCTTTAATATGCTCATTCCAAATTTGTAGGGCTATACACATGGCTGTATATTCAACTCCATTCCAACATTTGCAGGAATATTACAGTGTCCAGAAAGTCCATTAAAGTTGACAAATCCCCAAATAAGGTCTCTATTTCCAAATCGCGCAGAACAGGAGCTCAAATTGAGAAAATAAATCTGCCCTTCAAGGAAAGATGAACATGGGAATACTGTCCTGCCTGGCAAAGAACACATGTGACACCTTGTACTAATCCTTCACCATTCAAGATATGTTCACATTCAGTCTTCTTCTAGCTGTAATGTGTATAAGAACTTGCACTTGAGTGTAATTTACCAAATAGAAAACGGAGAAGAGTAAAAAGTCTAAATGAGGAAACCGAGTTACTGCATAACCATCATCATATCACACCTTTGTCCGGCGCTAAAATCACTTATTATATGCAACAATTTACAAAATCATTAACCAGAAATTTATAATATTTCTTCTAAAATATAATCTCTAAATCCACATATCCTGATCATTTCCCATAGTTTGTATTAGAACTTAGAAGCAAATTTGTTGGCAGCTGATTGAAAAAGCTGTGAAAATATAGCATATTGTTGCCTTTCTGAACACCTTTGTCTAACTAAAGACTTGGCCCGCATTGCTTGACATGATTACTAAATAGAAAGGGCTTTTTATGCCTCAGAATCCCTTTTTAAAAAGATGGATTCAAAGAAACAATTGAGTAATCCTGGAAAAATTTCCCATTGAAGTACTGATGTCTGAAAAGTTAACACCACAATAAATCTTGTTTGGTAAAAAAAATTTCCTTTGCCATGCTTATAATAATGCAAGATCCATGTCTCTTAAACTAATCACCCTCAGTCCGTCTTTTAGGCATACACATATTCTCCTAATTAATTAAGCGTGTATAGTAAGCTCTGTCTTTTAGACATACACACATTCTCCTAATTAATTTTGCGTGCATAGTAAGCTATTTCCCTACTCGCATTTCAAAAGAAACCTCTTATCTTATCAATTATATTCAGATTTGAACGGGTATTGTATGAAAAGGGAGCATCTACAATGGCATGGCAGAAAGTAAAGTTAATCAGAACATGTCTGTCTATTCTAGACAATGAAGATTCTATACAAAGAGAGCATATAGAGTGGTCTGTTACAATATTTGAAGTTCCGTAGTACTTGTAACTAAAATGCAGTTGTTCTCAGGAATTATTATGTTGGAAACTGCTGGAATTAAAACCCTAATTTATGCTATTTCGTGACTTCCAATTAACTTATTTGATTCAATCTATTATTCTTTGTTTGCATGTATAAAAAGTTCAACTCAAGCTAGATTAGTTAATAGAAATTGTTCCCTCTCTGAGAAACTCCTAGAATTGGATGGAATTGACAGTCTCTTGAGTGAATTCAAGTTCATAGAAATCTCGATCTTCACTTACAGATTTAAGTGGATCCACAAGTACTACCTAACAAGTAAAGATAAAAAAAATTTATTAAATGTCATCTCTCTTTGCTTTGCCTGTGCACTCTTTGATATTAGATTGATCAAAACAGAATTGATATACCTAATTTAGGAAAGAAATCACAACCAAAATCAAAACCTGAAAAATAAAAGAAATCAACTCAACTCAACTTACTTTCTAATGTCGATACAGCTGTTGTTCGAATTTTTAAATTCTTGTCGCTTGAAACTGTAGGAAATCGAGAATTAGGGCAAAATTAGAAGGAAATGAGAGGACTGAAGAACTAAAATGAGAGGACTGAAGAACTAAATGAGGATTGAAGACGAAGAAGAAATACCTTCCTGAATGCCCAAATTCTGAAAACTATGGAGATGAATGCGGAGGCGTCGCATTGATGATTAGGGCAATAATACTCATCTTTGCAAATTTCGACTGGAAGATCGTGGGACGACGAGAAGGCTAACCGATGAACTCTTCGGCTTCGGCGGAGAGGAAGGTGTATCGGACGTGGGAAATTTTCGATGCTGATGAGGAAATTTTTGTAACGCTTATAAGGGAGAAATTGGGTATATTTAAAATGGTTGAAGGTCGATGCTGATGAGGAAATTTTTGTAACGCTTATAAGGGAGAAATTGGGTATATTTAAAATGGTTGAAGGTTAATTTGGGAAGGAGAAAGTTTTTCAAAATGGTTGAAGGTTAATTTGGGAAGGAGAAAGTTTTTCAAGAACTTGCTCTTTTAAAGGGTAGATAGATCTATGAACCCTAACAGCTACCCTCTCCCCTCAAAAATCCTAGATCTTTTCTTATGAATTTTGAGGGTTTTGTGAAGCAAAATACCAACACGAGGGTGAGATCATCGACGTGTGGCAAGAGAGAACGAGTTGTTTGCACATTTGGATTGCTTGCTATTTATTTCGAGGCTTGTACATGAGATTAAGGCAAGATCAACTTCACCTAAACCTGCACCCTTAGTTAATAAATGATTTAAGATGTTTAAATCAATGTTTTACATGTTTAAGCTTAACCCAATGTGAAAAAGATGAGATTTTTGATGTTAAATCTTAAACCAATGTTAGATCTATTTTATTTTCTTGTTGTATATGTTAGTAACATGATTATGATCACTAGGGTTGAAATTATTTTAGTTTTTATCTTGTTAATCATGCTCTAATCATGTTTAAACCCTAAATTTACAAACTAGTTGAGTTTTAATGTAAGTTATTTATGCTTAAACCCTAGGTTTGTGAAATCTAAGTAAGATGAACATGTTAAAACAATTTTTTCTTCTATTCATGTTTATGTTTTATCATGTTTTAATATTTCATGTTGATGATTTATGTGTAATTCAGGAAATTTGATAATTCTTAATCGTTGTATTTATGTTTCATGCAAGTTTAAGGGTTTAAGCATGTTTCTTGTTGCAAATAATCATGTTAAATATGTTATATGATTCCCAGAGATGATGATTTGAATTTTACTAAGTTTGATGTATGTTTTAGTAATTTAAACAGGTTCAAATCACAAAAACACGACACGAACACAAACAGTGCTGAAACCTGCATAATCTAGAAAAACTGGGTTCGGTCGACCGCGCCTAAGCGGAGGTCATCCACGTGCCAGGCAGGAGTCTGAGCAACCCCTGAAACCTATCGCAATCAAATGACGCCAAGATGCGGTCGACCGCCATTTTCCTATTATGGCATGTGCAAGTTTGTGATACATTGTTTTTATTTTCGAGAGAGTTTCTCGATCTTGTACTATTGTAGTTCGATGTTTAAGAGTTGTGACATTTGTTTTATATAGTTGAGATTTAGAGTATTTTCTTTTGAATGTTGTTTTCATTCATAGAGTTGGAATTGTTATTTAGGGATTCATAATTTGAGACATATGGTATATACATAAGGGTTTCCTTGTTTGGATTATTTTGCTCGACGTACCATTCTCGTGTTGTGGGTTTTTAATTGTTGATTTCCTTTAGATGTTTTATTCTCAGTTCGGTATTAATATTTAGTTATCTACAATTTGAGATATATGGTATATATATGAGGGTTTCCTTGTTTGGATTATTTCGTTTGACGTACTACGTCTCGTGTTGTAGATTTCTAAATATGAATTCCATCTAGATACATGGTAAATGATCTAGATAGACTATGTTTAATAGGTAGAACCTCCACTTCATCTAGTAGCCCTTCCCCTGGGGGGGCGGATGGAGATAATCTTGCAGTAGTGCTCTAACGCTCTTGTTGTTATTCTTCTTGTTTAAATTGTCTCTTTGAGGCAGCTCAGAGTTTCGGAGAGCTGCAAGATGATGTAGTTCTAGCATAGTCATTGTTGCACAGTCTTACACTAGTAAAAAACATAACATACTAGACGGATTATTCTAGAAGGTAATTTTTCCGTCTAGGATAACACATTCTAGACGGAAAAATTTTCGTCTAAAATAATCCGTCTTGGATAATCATTATAGAAGGAAATGTCCCTATGGGAAACTTCCTAGACGGAAACTTCTTAGACGGAAATTTAATCTAATCATTCCCATAAATTTATTTCGTTCCCCCCAATTTATTTCGTTCCATGCTCAAATCCCTCTCTATCCTCCATCTCTCTCAAATCCTTCTCAAAATAGATATTTTTCTTTGTCTCTCTCAAATCTCCCATCTCCCCCAATTTCTTTGGTCGCCGACATCTCCCTCCGTGGTGAGTCCACGAACCCTATCCTCGCTCGCTCCGGCCTCATGACCATCTCCCTCTCCCCCGCCCTCTGCCGCCTCGACCGCCTCTCCTCCCTCATCCTCGCCGACTGGAAGCAAGTCGAGCAATGGACCGCCTCTCCTCCCTCATCCTCGCCGACTGGAAGCAGGTCGAGCAATCGATCATCGATGAAGCCCATGGCCATCCTCCCCTCCCCTCACGTGTGGGTTCCCGCCGGTGCGAAATCCTCTCTCTCCGCCGCCGTCGCCGCCTCGTCCTTATCTTCATCAACAGCAAGCTGTCGGAGAGGCTCGGGGTTAATCTCTGGCTCAGGGAGGACTTGCAGCCAGTTTGTTCCCTAAACCACATTCTCTAATTCACTTGTTTCTCACTGTAAAGTTTCAATCTTTAAATTTATTTGTTTTATAGTAAATTTTGTTCTTAATTTGATGTGCAATTAAAATAATTGATGCCATTTGCATTGAGCTATCCGAGCAATACTAAAACCTATCAAATTGGTTGCTATTGTTTTCAGGATTTTGTATCCTTGGAAGGTGGGGTATTGTATCGTCTTCTCCCTTACTTTTCTTTCAATTTAACAATTAATCATAAGAAATTCTGTATGGTGGTGCTTCTTTGTTTTATGAGCATAAATGGAATAATCGACTTGCCAAATAGCCTTCTTGGAGTTATGGCGAGCTCTTCTTTTATTTATATTCTTTAATTTTGCAAGTAGGTTTTTACCACTATTCATTCTTTTATGTATATCTGAAACAGTGAAACAAGATTTGAACCATGGTTGATAGATTTCATATTTTCTTCATAGGAGTACTCTAATTATTCAGGTCTACTAATACTCGAACAACTTTAGAATTTTTCTTGCAAGCTCAGAATATGTTGCTTGCACAAAACTAGTGATACTTAATGCACTTAATTTATCTGCAGGACTGCTATCAATAAGCCACTTTCTATTTATAATGATGAAAACGCTGCATCAAGGTGTCAGCCTGAAAATCAGAAGAGCAATGACAGTAGTTGGCGCACACTTGGATCCCGAGCAGATAGAAACAAAGAAAACACCTCAGCCCCTACCGTTTGGTCATCATATAAGGTTCTGCTTTGTCTGGAATTTTATTCAAGTTACACTTATGCACCATGCTATAGGTTACAAATATTGCATCTGTCATTATTTTGATCAGGTTCCATATAAAACGGGCACTCGAGTGGTCCCAACACCTTCAAGCATGCGCATTGAGGTGTTTGTTGATAAGGAATCTGCAGAGTATATGTTACCCTACAATGTTCATATTTGTGTTTATTGACATGACTATATGTATTTTTTTTAATTCTGTAAATAAGAATCGAGAGCATGTAGGATGCATGATTATAAACCTAGAGCAAATAAAATGAGGTATTACATTTATAATTGTGTATATTTATTGATCCAGTTAAGGTTTATGCACAATGTAGAGATGAAAAGTAATAGGAACCATGCTATACCTATACATATTAATTATATGGAAAAGATCGTTAGATAAAAGCTTTTTGTATGTGTTTTGGAAAATTGAATCATTAAATTGGAATTCATTTAGCTATTTCTCAAGTTGTGACTTAACAATGATGTTTTATTTTTGTAAAAGAACTGGGTACTTGTAAATCTTGTACGACGCTTGCATTCCATATTCATGTTTTACCTCCTAAACTTTTCACAAAAAAATTGCAGAGGTGAACAACCAGTGGAGATCACCAAAAGCCCCAAGCCTTCTACATTACAGCTCAGAAAAACAAATAGCAAAAACCTTAAGAAGTAAGGATTAACAAATGACAATCCTTTATTAATATCTCGTTCTAAGTTCGATCTTTCCAATGATCAATCTGCCTTGTACTTGTTTGAGCAGGGAAACAGAATTGTTGAGAGAGAATCCATTGCATAATTTTCCTCAGTAATCATTCCTTTTGTCTTCACTAATGCAGTGTTCACTAATTACTATTGTATTTGCATTGTATTTTTATTTGAATGAATATATGTATTCTTGTTCTTGTCTATGAGCTTTGATCTCCAAAGCTTGTATGAATATATGTTGCAACTTAATAAGGTGCATGATTATTATTGTTGTTATGCTACATTAACGAACTCGGTTTCTTGTTTTAATGCTTTGTTTCAATCTCGACTATTGCAAATGCAACCATAATTTTTAAAGTTTGGATAACAAATGTAATTGCCTTGGTACATTACTGCAAAGTTTGGATAACAAATGTAATTGCCTTGGTACATTACTGCTATGCAAGTAGGCAAAGAATGACGACTTGCATGCCTTTATACATTCTCAATTGCCTTGGTACATTACTGCTATGCAAGTAGGCAAAGAATGACGACTTGCATGCCTTTATACATTCTCTCATATTATTTGAAGTGTCTTGGATAACTGCAGATAGATAGATTCAAAAATGAAATTTTACCAGGAAGAAGCAGGGATATGTTTGAGTGAAAAGTATCCCTAGATTATGACGAGGGATTAATAGAATTGATAATTAGGAATTATCACTTCTCTATCTTTTTTTATAGAAATATTATAGCCTCCCACCTGCGTTAGGATGAGAAGACTCCCAGTAAAAGAAAAATAGCATTTTCCTTAACTTCTTACAATTAACAAGCAAAGCATTTTGCTGCTTAGCGCTTTGTTTTCTTCATCCGATAAACGCATAAATATAATTCAATGTAGGGGTTGTAATTTTGCGGGGTTTGAACAAGGAAAAAAAAGCCCAAAATTCACTCACTTGTTTCAAAATTTAGAAGGCTAAGGTTTATATGGTTTCATAATGTTAACAAATAAGCAATCCAAACACTTGAACAAATCCAACACTGTATCATAACATAACATACAACGAAAACAAATGAAAACAAAAGGAGCAACTTAATATTACAAATAAAAACAAAAGTAAGTGAAAAGATTTTACTTATTAGTTAATGCCTTAATGGTGATCAATTTGTGTTGGATAAGTCAGAAGCTCATTGTCTCATATAATTTTTTGATCAATTTCACTTTTCATTCGAAAAAAATAATTAGATGCCTTCTTGTCCAATCCCTCCTTTTCTTTTGTTTTCCTCTTATGGAAATGCTAACAGTGATAAACAATCTTTATCTGATCAATGCATTCATCTCAATTTTCAGTCGGCCTTGTGACATTGTTGGCGATGTCAGTTATGAAGAGTTGCGAGTAGTGGCATATGAAGATGCTAAGAAAGGGTTGCCTTTGCAAGCATTTGTAAGTTGAACAAATTTATCCAACCCACCTTGGAAAAAAGGTCCATATTGATGCCATTGACATTGAATATGCTCATCTGGAGTTTCTTCATAGTGCACACATGTGCAATGCGTTATCTGATGGTGCATTTAATTACTAAAGGGGATATTGTCAGCTCCTATTAGCTTTGTATGGTAAAAGTTAGTAAACAATTTATGTATCTCTCTAGTATTTTGGTGAATGTATTATTTGAATATAATTGGATTTGATATTAGAATATAATTAGATTATGTTGGATATGAATATAATTCATTATTGTCATTATTGTGTACATGCACTCAAAGTAGATTCTGAAAAAAAAAAAAAAAAAAACTGTAGCATAGCATCCTAGACGGAAATTCCGTCTAGGATGCTCAAAATTCCGTCTAGGATATCCAAAATATCCTAGACGGAAATTTCCATCTAGGATGGGTATCCTACACGGAAATTCCGTCTTGGATGTTCCGTCTAGGATTATCCTAGACGGTTTTGAAATCCGTCTAGAATAATTCATTTAAGATGTATTCTAGACGGAATTTTCATCTAGAATATTACATCCTAGTGTAGGCATCGAAAATTGCCTATAGTTCTCCACAACCGGTTCAGTGTTAACAAACGACGATGAACGTCACCATCCAATCCACATGAGCCTAATCGACGTCGACGAACGACTAAAGTGAATCGACGAGCTACATGAGCGGATAGGACTTCGGAATCACGAAGACCCGGACCAATCGGGAAGCCCGGCACTGTTCACAAAAAGGACAACGCCCTTCATGCCTCGACCACTCTACAGATAATCCAATCACCAGAACGGGTCAAACTCTTCGTCGCGCATCCAACGCACCCGGAATCACTCAAATCCGAATCCGGACGAAGAATATACAGGGGAACCAACAAAACACCTAAACGGAGTCTCGGCAAGCTCGAAACACCCGAGGGGTGTCTTGGCAAAACCAAGACACCCTTGGGGTGTCTCGGCCAGGCCGAGACACCCAACTCTGTCCGATTTATCCGGACCAGATCTGAGTGCCCCGGTGGTCCACGGATATCAACATCCCCGTCACAGGCAAAAGACCCACGCAAGCAAGAGATGACAAACAGATCTTGCGTTTGTTTGAAAAGAGTTGTATCTATTTTGTTTTCATTGTGTACCGGTCTTATAAAAAGGCTATCTTTTTATTTCATTGTAACGATTGAAGTTGTAATGAATGCAGCAATGAATACAGCAACTTTTTCCGCAAACAAGCTGGCGACCACAGTGGGAGCCAACGGCATCGCAACCGACGCCGTCGTGACGCAACCAGCACTCAAGATCGGGGCGAATGAAGAACACGAGCTCGAGATCAACAACTTCAAAGAAGGCCTCTCTTCCTCCTCCTCCAGATCCGCCTCTCCAAACGGGTACAGAAAGGTAACCTCTTTTATAAATGTTTGCAGGTCCTTCAGTTCAAAAATCCAAGACCCCGTTGCCGCCTCTGCACCTACACCACGCGACGTCCCCGTGTCATCCAACGTGGTTGAGATCGCAGATCCGGATTCCTCTTCCGCCGAGGAGATGACTTCTGAAGACGCTCCGGCATTATCAAAGAGAGCACGACAATGACAGCGTCAACGTCTTGCTCGACAGCTGGCCGAGGCTTTGGAGCCAATGGATGGGATCCGCTATAGCGTAGATCTAAAATCCAGGCAACGCCAGGAGCAACCACGGCAAACAACCAGCCCCTCCTCCGAAGCAGAAACAAACAAATGGGTTCATGTCAAAAGAACCCGTTCTACTATTGAGGAGCGAATCCAGAAGCGCTGCGCCTTGCGTGCCCCGAGCCCTGGTCCAAAAAGCACGAGAAATGCTAAAGGGAGAGGCCGTTAAGAGATCGCCGAGGTCCGAACGAGTTTGGATGCCAAAGGCCGAATCAACGCCTAAGGTAAAAGCAGGTAATATTGCTCTCCAACCTTCATCAATTTCAGATCCCGAACCTCTGGAAAAGCCCCACCGCAGCGCGGATTTCCCCAAGTCTAGGAATCCTCTGAACAACCGTATCGATGCTCTACCCGAGAATCGAGGAAAAGCGCTTGTCAAGGAAAGCTGGGGATCGTTGAAGGAGCCTCGATCCAACATCCAGACTGGGGGTCGTACACGATCTCCTAACAAATCGATCTTTGCAACGACCAGCTCGGCGGTGCATGCAAAAGACCAAGAGCCCGTTAAGATTTCACCCTCACAAAAGAGTGATTCCAAACGTGCGACTCTTGCAGAGGCCAACAAGGCAATGTTTACTCAGAAGAAGACGCGTCGGACAGACGAACGCGTTATACCTGAGAACCCCTGTGAGCAGCCGATAGGTTACTCCGACCGCAACGTCGATGAGTTGTACTATCGGGCTGGGGGTGCGGATGAATCTCAAAAGAGAAACACCCGGGAAGCGGATTCTCACTGTCCGTGTACCAAAATTATCAGGGCAGTATTATCAGCCTGTAGCTGCCCCAAGACCGCTCCACAGAGGGTCTCGATATCCGAGGGAATCTCCGATGGAACGACAAAGCCCAAATCAAGGCGTTCCCACCAAAGAGGATCGATTGCTCGAGATGATGAACCCCTAGAAGTGACTATCAACATGGTCAATTGACGATAATCAAACGTCGCAACAGCAGTCCTGGGAACAACAGGAGAATTCAGACGAGGAGCTCCAAAACGAGTACTCGTTCAAAGACGAAGACGTTCCAGCTATTTTCGAGACCCTTCTCGAAAACAACAAAATCAAGCTCCCGCCCATTACGAATCAGGAGGAAGATGGCGATTCTGCGGACCCAACGTACTGTGAGTACCACAGAAGGATCCTCCACCCCACCAAGGAATGCTTTGCTCTCAAGAATAGCATCCAGACCTTGGTTGAAGCCGGCGTTATAACGCTAGGGTAAGCCAATTGAAAACGGCATTACTCCAAAGAGTACAAGAGTATAAACTGTTCCTCAATACTCCAAAGAGTACAAGAGTATAAACTGTTTCTCGATACTCTAACGCTAGGGTAAGCCAATTGAAAACGGCAACACTCCGATAAGTATAAGAGTATAAACTGCTTCTTACAACTCCAAAGAGTATACGAGTATAAACTGTTTCTCATTACTCCGACAAGTATAAGAGTATAAACTGCTTCTCCATACTCCAAAGAGTACAAGAGTATAAACTGTTTCTCACACTCCGATAAGTATAAGAGTATAAACTGCTTCTTGATCCTCCGACCAGTATAAGAGGTTAAACTGCTCCTTGA